AAATTTAATTTCTTTTGAATTTTGGAATTCTGATGGACGAAAATGCAATTGACGTCGTGCAGTCATATTGGGAAATTACATCAGATGATTATCTTGACTTCATTAAGGAATATGTGGTCGGTATAGGACCTTGGAAAGATACAGTGGTTCCCGTGAAAGACAATTACCTGCAAACACCAACAGATCTTGTTGCCAGAGCACATGCCCACAATCTACAGGTACTCCTTATCTAGAGCTTTTGATCAATGACACTGGCGGTGATATCTAATATGGCAGTAACGTGCGATGTTGGCTTCGATACAGGTGCATCCATACACTTATCGCGATGAAAACTTGTTCTTACACTTCAACTTCCATCAAGACCCATACCAGGAATATGATTTTTGGTTAAACAAGATTGGAGTTGATGGACTTTTTACAGACTTCACAGGGAGCCTCCACAATTTTCAGCAGTGGACCTCTCCTCTCTCTCAAAATAATAGCAGTGATGAGGGTCGTGCATCTAAATTATTGGATAAAATTGCCCTATTGATCTCTTCATATAAAAATGGGTGAGACCATAGATTGTATCGTATCTGTCATCCTAAAAGCAACTTCTATGGAAAACGTATTGAAATTTGTTCACTGTGAAGGTAGTTTTGGGAATTCTACATCCCTTCTGGGAACAATTAGCATCTTGATTCAGATCATAATCTTCTATGTATAGCCAAATTGCACCCCTCAAATGTGTTTTTTGGGTAATCTTTCATTCAAGTTGTTCTATTTTTAGCATTTGACAGATTACGCAAGAGTGCAGGATGAAAAATTGTTGGTTGTACTCATACTGTAATTTTCTGAAGAGCCAAAACCACGAGGACTCTGGAACATAACAGTACAAAAAGAAATTTGTAATGGTTTCCTAAAAATCATGTTACAAAAATGGGTTAGAATGAAGTCACAATCTAAATTAGTTATAACCCTTCAATCTGACATTTTCTAACAAAAACTGAAATCTTAAATCCAATGGAAATTCACATATGTTGCCTAGATAGTTCTTGAGAAAAGAAGAAACTACTGAGAATTTTTCATTTTCTTGATGTCTTCGAGCAGAAATCTGGATTCCTCAGAAAAATCAATTGGAGCAACAGCCTTGACAGTTATCCTTTGCCGCTTCTGATTGTTATACTCATTCTGAGTAACACTGACTCGAAAAAGATGAGGAACCCAAGTAGCTTCCTTCAACTTTTGTTGGTATGCATTAATTTCTCCTTCCTGAAAATGGCAAAACCATGAGGGCCTGTGAGACAATATTCTCCAACTTATACGAGGCATGTACATATACATCAAACTCATCAGGAGAGCAATACATTTACCTCTAATTTTAGCTTATCAAGTTCATCAGCAGAGCATCCAACAATTTTCTCTGCTTCTTCATTGAAGGCAGAAACCCAGGCTTCACCACTTGCATCAGAGATCTTCGACACCATTATGTATCTAAGAAATGCCCAAATAAACATTAAATATATGTCAGCTAACTTGAGAACTGTATGGAACATTTAATTTATAATTACTTAAAATTTCCAAGACCTCTCACCTTAAACTGCAGTCTTCATTTTTCTGGCATCCTTCACACCAATAACCAGATCCTAGGGCTTCAGTTACTTTCTTGTTGCAAGTTTTACAAGCACGGTACCACATTGCCTGTTCAGGCCTGATCAAGCTGATAAATGCTTTAATGCTGAAAAATGCAGGCTGCAGAAGAAAGAGATTCAATTATCAGGACTGGATTTATTTTCAATTTGAAGGATGTGGTAGTCATCCATGAAATCAAATTCAGCTTCATAAATGATACCATATTGCTTGCATCTTTTACAAATTAAAACACACTATATTGCTTTTTCTCAAATAGTTCTAAATAAAGCGCAATAGCATACTATGATCCGTGATCCAAACAACCAACTCCAAGGAGAAAAAAAAAAACTTTGTAGTTATTCACAAAACTTAATTCAAAGATGTTTCTATTCCATGAATGACTAAGAGCGATACCTTGTCATCACCCAAAGATGGGTTACCAGTAATATGAGAAAGAGAAACCCTATCAGAGTAAATAGATCTTGCCCCAGTCTTGGATGAAGGACTCAAACCCGAGCCAATAGGGGCCATGGAACTCCCTTTCCCTTCAGAATCATACCTGCACAAAAAAAACTTGCACCTGAAAATGATACTTGAAAGGGTAACCATTAGTTTCTCAGCAACAATAACTTACCAAGATCTCAACTGCATTGCTTCAGGTATGTCTGGATTAATCAGCACTGTGCTTTTGCCTAATGTTGACAAAGATACACCTGAAATATCAACACCAAGATTCAGGATACATTTTTTATTGTAACATTTCTAGCTTATTACTTCTCAGAACACATGCTCCAACTTTAGATTACCTTGAAAATCATTAACTTTTAGTGATTTAATTGCAACTATAGGAGATTTATCAGCAATGTCAAACAATTCCTGCCCTTCATTATTTGCAAGCTCATTCCACAAAGAGATCACTACTGTCCTTTTCCTGGCATCCAGAAATGTATAGCTTCAATAAAGCATAAATAAAAAATAAAAAAAACATATAGCAGTGAACGAGTGGACACTTACGTTTCATCTGCAACAATCATATCTCGCTTCGGAATATTCTCATTGTCAATCTTCCTTTTAATATTTGATACAGAAGTAACACTTTTAACAACTCCAATAATATCTGGAATTCAAAGCAATAAAAAAAACAGTAAAGGAGCATGTAAAACATAAAAATTAAAGACTTAAATACACATGCCCATAAACTCCTAGGAAAGAGATTCTTACCAACTAGTTCCCTTCCATTAACATAAGGGCCTAACTGATCGATAGGGACAAAGTTGAATTTAGTTTCTGGAATAAATGTTTCTTCATTAACAGCCTCTTCCACCACAGAATTCTCATTCAATGTCATTTCATAATCGTTTCTTACAGTCTTAAACTGCTTGTTTGCAACTCTGAGAGTTCCTTTTGATATGTAATAGACCTTCCCCAATTGAAACTTTTCATAGAACTTCCTAGCAGCTTCATTAAACATTGTGGCTTGTATTTGCGTACCCTACAATACATTAATCATTCAATCAATTAGAACCCATTTTTCTACAAGTTAAACGGTTTCTTCACACACAAGTATAAGAAAAACATAGGTTATAGCAGGAGCTTACATCTCCGTCTGTCAACTCCACATTGAAAACACAACCTTCTCCTCTAGCATTCTTATAGGTACGCATATTTCCCTTGCTTGTGAGACGAACTTTAATCGTCCAATTTCCTTGGTAAGGATTCAATGAAACAAGTGGATGCACTCTTCTTGTCATCGCCATCCTTGCCGATGGAGCCATACTGAAAATTTCAAAAAAAAATAAAATAAAATTACAAAGCATTAGAACAGAAAACAACACAACTCTTAAGCTTTATAACAAAGTAGATTGAACCTAAGCCAAAAGAATAAAAGGGAAACTCACTTTTCTCGCTGTTCATATACTATTTGAGCAGCAGATTTGGAAACCATTTCTTGCTTTGGCTTTAAAATGATACCAGCCCCTTCCGCTTTGACCTCATTTTTTATCCCATTTTCAAGCTTTGGCTTCTTTAAAACAATGTTAGATTCCTCAGTTTTGACTTCATCTTTGATTTCCATCTCAAGTGCAGGGGATACTGCCTCACATTTTGTTACAATTAAATACCTGAAACCCGCAACCAGTCTTGAGATAAATTTTAAGAAACCATTCAAGAGACCATATCATATTCCTTAAAATTAAAAAAAAAAAAAAAAGAAAAAGAAAGAGGGGTAATTAGTAGTTACTTTTCTGATTTGTTGGGGATGTCATTGAGGGTATAATCGAAAATTCTGACAAGACCCTTGTTTTGGATACTGCCTGAAATTATCTCAGATGACATGTTTGATGGAAAGATCGCTCTCACTTTCATCTTCCCATCACTTGCATTAAACCTTCAATCAAAGACCAACCAAAATAATACTTAGTCTCTACATTTTCAATGGAAATATTTATCTTCACTACCATTCTATTTGCTGCTGAAAACAAACCCAAGGCAAACAACGGAAGAGAAAACACGAAATTGAATTTTAAATAAATAATTTATTTATGAGCTGAAAACACATTTTCTATCACAAATTTGACAAACTTATGAAGTAGTTACTTACAGCATGCTAACAAGTTGAACTGAAAAACCCAAAACCCAGAATGCATTTGGCTGTTAATTAACTAAAAACAATAGAATTAAGAATATAAAGAGGCATACGTGTAACGGTTGCCAGTGAGCTTGAGATCCAAGACCTGGACAATGGTCTCAGGGAGATCTGAGGAAGAATCCGGAGATGGGTTCGCCAGTATCGTCGATATCGCATCTTGGCTTACCGTTTTCGCCATTTCTCCCTCTCTCTTCTCTCTCTTTTTTTTTTTTTTTGGAGTTTGGTTTCTGGGAAATGTTGGCGCTGAGAATTAACAATGGGAGGGATTTAAGAATCAAAAGAGAAGAGTTTTTGGATTGAAGAAATTTTGGAGGGAGTTTTGGTGTGTTTTTAAGTGAGTTTCCCGCTGCCAAATCCTCCTCATTTCTTCTATAATATTTTCACCGTTTGGCGGGAGCTAAATATTTCTCCTTTGGGTATAGTTTTTCTTTTTTTTTTGGGTTTTTGAAATGGTGGGTTGGGCTTGTGCCAAACATATTCAAGTCGTAGTACGGAGATTAAAAATTTTATTGATGTTGGTTATACCTCTTAAAAATAATAATAGAAATTAATTACTAATAAGTAATTAATTCAATCAGTTAAAATTTATTTTCCTTGATTAAAAGATTTTGGGTTCAAATCTTGTTATTTGTTTGAATCATTTTGAATGTACGATTTGCAATCATTTATTTTAAACTATTAAATACGTTACATTTTATATTAACTTAAAAAATTAAACAGTCTATTTATCTTTGAATTTCTTATAGTGGGATTGAAGCTTGTGCTCTGGAATTAGGGAGAGGTCCTGATCAGTTTAAAACTTGTGTTCTTGTTAGCATACAAGCCATTTCTGTTGCAATACAGATTAGAAGAGCTGCAGATTTGTTATTCTAGGCGTTTGTCTATGTGTCACAAGTTTTCGTGTAGTTGTGTTTGTTGGGTATTTTCCTGAACAATACCGCAAATTAGGTAGTAGGGACTAGGACACTTCAACTTTCAGTAAAGCCATACCAGTCAGGCTTTAGTCTCTTTCCATTGGCCTGCATTGAAATTGAAGTATAGGGTAGAATCAAGATTGGGTTCAGGATTCCTCAAAGATGGTTAGGAGACTTCACAAAATTTGGCGTCCAATAAGCACCAAATAAGTTTGCAAAATATGTTAATTATGATATTGGTGATTGTAGCAAAGTGTGCTCGTGGCTTGTTTCACTGTGTGTGAATGATTTGATTAATGCATGAAGCACTCGCATCAGTTGATAACAACACAAAAGGGGGATAAGGACTTGTTCTACAGGGGACTATTTGCTTTGGAAGAGGAGAGTTGGATGTCGAAGGCAGAGATGAATGCAACTTACAGCAATGTAGCTGTGGCTCTCCGTTTTAGAATTTGATTCATAAAATCCATTTTACTGAACCTACACATCTCAAATGCAGAAGTAACTGCAACTCTTCTAGGTCTAATGAAAATTTAAGTGCTTTCTACAAGTTTGCCTACATTGTCTCTTAAGCACATAGTAGATTTCAGACCAGTAATATCCTGATACTGACAGCAACTCAACAAGAGATCTAGTCTATTTACTACAGGAAGTCATGGCTGGGATGAAACTCTATTCTGATGCACCTAACAACTGAAAATGACTTACATTTCGCACATGCACATTAATTCCTTCAATGTAACTGTCCTTTCTCATTGATGGAAACTACACATCTCCTTGTCAACTGCTTTAATCTGGATCAAATGCTCATCAGCATCATCAGCTGCTTTTACTCTTAATTAAACCTGGAGCAGCTAAGTGGGGCATCAATGCATCCCAGCCAAAATTAAAGCAGTCATGAAATGTAGAACAGTCTCAGAATCAGAGGCTTGCGTTCCTTTTCTCATCATCACAGGTTACTATCATCTGCATACATGTATGTACTGTATAGAAAGCATACTCACATTCTAGAGCAGAAAAATACGACCAATCCACAAAAAAAAAAGCAATCCTAACACAACAATGAACCTAGAGAATGACCTGGATCATACGCCTAGAATTGAATTTATCAGAAAAGTATTGGTTAACACTTGCAGGACAGCTAAGCATGTTATTTCAAGCCAAGAGAAACACGGGCACAGGCATTTGTATCCAACAAAGACCCAATTACAGGTATTACAACAGGAGGAACAGAAATTTTGGAAGTAGACATGTTAATTACAACCAAATTTACATCTACAGCAATCAAGACTTTTATCAGGAAAAGAAAATGTTGTAAAAGGAGGAGAGTGAGAAACAAAGAATGGCTGAAACCTTAAGACCTTAAGTCTTCACCATCTGTGCGAATTGTTCAATGATCTAGGCGACCCTTCAAAAAGATCCAAAAGCAAATTTTCCACATCTTCTGCAGTATGCTTAACACATTTGTCATCAATATGAGCAGGGTTTCTCCCAAGAAAAGTTCGATATGCATGGACTACTTTAAGTGAAGTTGAAATTCGCAAATCTTCACGAAGCTGAGGATCTGGGATACACCAACTTGTCTGGGTTTTGTATAACTCCTCAAAAGCAATGCTAAAGCCCTTGCACCTTTCTTTGAAAGTGGATTTTGACATTGAACTTGAGCCTGGGTTATCATCCTTGAGCAAAGAAACGACTGAACTCCAAGTGGCTCTCTCATAGTTCATTGCATGCTGCTGAAACTTTGCGTTATGCTTACGAATCCATTCATCTCCAAAGAAGCGTCTGAGTTCAGAGCCCTTAACCTTTTGAACCAAGTAATGGATGTTGTTCATCAAAAAAATATGTCGTAATGCCTCAACCTTGTATAGTTTTGATTTCTTATGAAGATTGGACTCCAAAGAACTTGTGATTGATCGAAGGTGACAAGCCATTGGACAAGAAGTGGAAAGAGACAGGTTCTGCCCATACTCTGGCTCAGTAACTGGATTTGCAACGGCTGCATGTTGGTCCTTGAGAAGCAAATTGAGGGTGGTACAATATTCAGGGAACATCCTGATGTAATTCATGACATATTTATTGAGAGGGTGAACTGCACCTCCAGGGAAGGGGAACAAGCATCCATTTGAAGAAATAGCAACTCCAAACGCCTTGAATGCTGCTGTTGCAGAATCACCCAATCTCTCCAGAAGCTCATGGAACTGAAGCCGAATAAAAGAACCAGCCTCTTCTGAGAACAATGTATCTATGTCTAGGAGAAGATCTGCCAAAGTCTCATACATGTCAAGCAAACGAAGCAGCTTTTCAGGTTGATGAGGCCCCATTGCTATGGCTTCTCCAAAATTTAAGAGGCAAAGGATTGTTGCCTGTGATATCTCAAGAAAGCAAAATGAATTAACAGATCCAAAGTCCCCTAAGACCTGGTCACATAACCGTTTTTCACTAGCAAGATAGACGCGAAAGATGATCTTCATGGACCAGGTCCATTTATTCATCTCGCTACTCATGCTATTCCACTCCATTTTCAGCACATCCTCGATGCTGACATTGCTCGTTTCTAGAATGGCAAAATACTGCTCCAATGCTTCTTTCCTCACACCAATGAAAGCTTCACAAAATTCCTGACCATAATCTGAAGTAAACATAACCTTTGCAATGGACTTGATATGAGGAATTACATGTGCATGGACCAAATCTACAATATATTCACCACTTTCATCACTACTGCTATTTCTGCTGGATGTTTTCTCTGCTGGTTCATCCTCGACTGAAACAAATGACTCATCATAAACAACATCCCTTTGAGTAGAACGAGATTTCATGAGTTTGGGCTCGAACCGTTGCCTATGCTGAACAAGTATATGAATAAGCTCTTCCTCGAGCCTTGACATTGCCATCTGCAAAACACTCACTGCACGGTTAAGAAGTTCCTTCTGCTTCCTATTTTCATTCACAGATAAGCCTCGTAAACCATCAACTAGTGTCTGAATTTCATCTACAGCTTCCAGATACTCAGAAGCTTCCCTAGGTTCAGAATCCCATATCATCATTCGATCTGATTCCCAAATCACAATCTTTCTCTCTGCTTGTTTGATTCTCTCCTCAACATCAACAAATCCCCTTCCTCCCTTGCTATCTATATTCGAAGTTATCATCGACAAGTGGGAATCAAGATCGATAAGGATCTTCCTTAAATCATCACTAAGATTCTTAGTTGCTCCTAATGCCTTGACAATATGATGAGCAGCAGCAACCACATGAAGATCTCCTTCAGATGTTGGGATGGCAGATTGACATTCCTCCATATCAAAAGAAAAATAAACAAGAAACGGAACAAAATCAATCAAGCACCAAGTAACTTCCCAGGCAATAAAAGCCAAGCCCTTCACTCGTGTGATAGATAGAACCTAAACCATCTACTTGCCAAAACCATGATTTGGATTCAATAAACCCCAGACACGATCAAGAGCAGATCAAGACAATCCAATGCTTTCGAATTCGAAGATATCAATCAAACAGGCTATAGCTCGACAACTCCTCACCCCAGCTAAATCAAAAGGGATTCAGATGGTCCTCTTAAAACATAAGTTTAACAAGATGCAACGCCAGGAATACAAAAGATTGAAAGACAGAAAAGCTCATGATAAAAAAGATGAAGCATCAAGTTAAAATGATTTGATCATCAAATTAAACCAAATTCAAAAACCTTTTACTTTAAACAAAATTGGCAAAAGAAGCAAATTTGCATGTTGATAAACTTTAAAAGAACTCAATCTTCAAAAACCCATATCTAAAAAAACTTTAATCGTGAAGATCATATAACAAATAGTTCAAAAAATTCACAAAAAGAAAAACACCCATCAAACCTTAAAACTTGTTTTCCTTGATATCATCGAACTCGAGCATCAACCCAGAAAAAGAAAGTCAAACGAACATCAAATTCTCAAAAGAGAAAGAGAAATAAATGTTTTCTGAAAAGGAAAAAAAAAATGACTAAAACTTGGATGAGAAAGTGAATAAAAGTGGTAGATTTAGAAGAAAATTGTAAAAAAAAATAGAGAAAATAAAAAGTTGTGAGGGTTTTGATAGAGACTAGAGATGAGATGAATTTCGTGGAAGAACACCTAGGGATTTTGTTTTTTTTTTTTATTATTATGTGCTTTAGAATTTAATTATTTCACTTTTTTTTTGTTTTGTTTTCGGATGAGTTGAATGCTGGGTATATGAAGTCGTGAGCTTGACTTTTGTTACGAGAGTTGAAGAACTTTTGTATTGATTGTCGCCTTGGTTTTGAAATTTTTACCGTACGGAAGTTACACATATATCACGTCAGTTAATGATTTTTTTACCTTTTTGTAAAAAGCATGTTAATTACCAACATATTTCACCCTTTTTGTGAAATGCATGTTAGTTACCTACATGTTAATTATGATTATGGTTAAACCAGGAAAAAGCACTAATGCAACTTAAGTATCGGAAAAAGCACTTATTATTATTATTATTATTATTATTATTATATCTAAATAAATTTTTTATTTTTTATTTTATTATAAGTCCTACTACTATTATTGCATTTAAATAAGTTACTAAAATCTTATTTTTTATTATCTTAACCTTTATATAATTAAATATAATAAATTATAAGGTTAAAATACTAAAAAAGCCTTTGAGTTATTTTACTTTTTATTAAATAAACTTCTATACTTTTATTGTACCCAAATAAATTATTATTTTTTAATTTACATTCAAATAAACCCTGATTATAAACAAAATGTTGATTTATATTAAAGGCTTATTTAGGTATGTAAATTAAACAATAAGAGTTTATTTGGATATAAATTAAAATTTAAGGTATTATTTGAGTATAAATTAAAAGTTAAGAGTTTATTTTATAAACAAAATGTTTATTTATATTAAAGCTTATTTAGGTATAAATTAAAAAATAAGAGCTTATTTGAATACAAATTAAAATTTAAGGGATTATTTGAGTATAAATTAAAAGTTAAAAGTTTATTTTGGTATAATAAAAGTATAAGTGTTTTATCTAAGTAAAGTAATAAAATAAAAAAAAATTATTATTTTAGTCAAATAATAATTATTATATAATTTTTCTTGTTATCTTAACTTATCCTAACTTGATAATTTAGTTGATTCACGTAATCACCTTTATAAGATAATATTTAGTAAATCTAAAATTCAAATCCAAATATATGTGTAATCTTTTTTACTATATTTATATTGCAGCTTTTTTGTTAAAAAATAAAAATAAAAATTACATTATTAATGATTCAAAGCATTTTATTTAGATCTAATAATTTTGGACATGCTAGTAAAACCTTAGCTAAGTAGCAAGGAGGAGATCAGATGGCAAACGGCTCAATTCAAACGGGTTTAGATTAAGCTATCTTTGGATTTGGATCTTTCAGGTTTGGATCATTTCAAATTCGGATAATTTTAAATTCGGATAATTTCAAATTTGGATAAACTCGAATACATATTATTTTGGATTCAAATTATTTTGGATTTGGTTTAATTCGAGTTGAACAGGTTTACCATTTAGATGAATTCAAAAAAATTTATAAATTTTATAAGTTATAAACATATATTTGTAATTTCAAATTAAAGATTAATTTTATTTTTTATATAACTAAATAAAAATATGACAAAAATGTTAATGTTAAAATTTTAAAAATAATATATTTATATAAATATATATTATATATTAATTTTGTCTTTAAATATTATCCATTTTTTTTAGTTCATCGTACAAATTGAAATAAAAGTTAAAATATTCAAAATTCACATAGTTGAATAATAGCCATTATTAAAAAGAATATTATTTTGACATTAATATTTACATAAATATAATAATATTGAATATATACCACAAAAACCAAATGTTCAATTAGAATATTGAATTGTAGATATTATTATATTAATTAATATAATGCTAAAAACCTAAAGGCAACAAATGTAATTAATAAATATGATTAACCTTAATATCAATAAAATATCAAAATTAATTGTATTAAAATTATTACTAGTATAGTATACTTTTAAGATATACTTCAATTTACTATGGATAATAATTAATTCTATTCTCACTTTAATTTTAATTTTATACTTATTGATAAATCAATTAAATTAAATTAAATTTATTTTTATCTAATATTAAAATAAAAATATAAAAAATGTGAAAAAATTAACTAAAAGAGCTAGCGACATATGGAAAAAACCTTAGTCTCCAAGAAAAATTAAAAAATACCAATTTCACAATTCTAATTTCCAAAAATAAAAAATCAAAATGCCTAAAAAAATGAGTAAACCCTAACATCATATCATAAGTCTATTAGTCTATTCCTAAATATAAAGTCATCGGTGCACCCCAAGCTTGTCTTCTTTAAACCTACTTTATCAAGTCACATTCCTCTTCCTTGAGCCTATTGCCATGAGCTTTCATTAGCATTCATAATATAGAACTATTGATTAATAAATGGAGAAATTATCTTGGACCCCATAACACAAGAATATTGATTACCACTCGTAATTGGTTGTATGGATATGATGCAACAATAAATCAAGATATTAAGATTTTATTATTATTGACTATATTTTTATTAATTTTTTAATGATTATATGATTTTTTTATATGTTTTATTAGATGAAGAATAAAATGAAATATTGGAATTGGAGAGGACTTTAGTAATGTTGAATTAGTTGTCTTGTGGAAGAGAATTAAGAGTTTTTTATTATAACGTATGTTCGTATTTTACTTTATAATTTTTTTGACAAAAAAGTTGAAAATTTTTTATTAGCAATTATTGTGTTGCTTTGATTGTAATTTGCAGGTTCAAATTTTAAATATTCGGATGATTTGATCTTGATAATGAAGCATTATTTTTAAGAATTTGAAAACTTTGGTTATTTGATTTTAAGAATTGAAAAACATCTTTTATTTTATTATACTTGTTTGGATATTGTATTGTTTAATTTAATTATTTAACTGCTTTTATCTTATATTTTAATTTTAAAATAATAATTTTAATATATAAGATAATTTTTTTTATTTTCAAGTAAAATTAATATTTTAATATAATATGTTTGAAACATTAAAAAAATATAATTTAAAGTTAATTTTTTGTTAATAATGGTATTAATGTTTTTCTAAAAACATAAAACTAAATAAATATTAAAATTATGATACAATTTTTTTATATTTGAATCATCTATATATTCAAATTTAAATTAAATTATATGGAATAAGTATAATGAATCAATAATATATTGTATATGATTATTTTATAATGAAATTAAATTTTAAATTAATGGTATTATTTTTTGTTTTATATTGATAATTATTGTAAATATAGATGATAGTATTAAAAAACATTAGATATTAATATTTAGTGTGTTTCAAATTAAATTTATTTCTAATCAAATTAAAATTTTAACATTACTTTTATTGACTATTATTGATATAAATATTTAATAATTATTAATAATAACATTTTTTAATATTAAAAATTTTAGTTAAGAAAAATATTTATTTCTTATTTATTTAAAAAATCATACAATTATATGTCTTTTTGGGTTGTAATTTGATTTTCGTAGATTTTATATTAGATTTATCTAGAGTTTAGATATTAAGGATTCAAGTTATACGAATTTAGATTGTATCGATTTCAAGCTTTTTTGGATTGAAATTTTTTTCGGATTGGATTTTTTTTGGGTTTCGATCTTTGACTTTTTTGAGTAAATTCAAGTTGATCTGGGTTAGGTCACAGATCGGTTTAGATTGATTTTTGAGCTCGTATCAACTTTTGATACCTCTATCTTGGAGTTTTAAAGTTTTACATTCAAATCTCATTGTGTGTGGATTTAGTTGTTTAATTGTGTTCTAGTTTATTAGTGGACTATTTAGTAATTGCAATTTTATTATGATGTAATAATTGATTATTTAATTAATTATATAAATGTAGTATATTAGTCACTGAACTTATGTCAAAATTTTTGGCCAAAAAAAAGCTATCAAATTGAAGAAATACAAATTTGAGATACGGTATTATATATTAGTATAAATAAAAAATTATTAACGTTGTTTTGTATTATAATAAGACGACAATGTATTTAAAAAAAATAAATGGTTTTGATGTTTATTTAATTGAAAGATAAGTAGGGAAGATAAAAATATAACAAAATAAAATTTAGATTAAATAAAAATTATAACTAAATTTTATTTTACAAAAAGTTATCAAATTTTTTTGGTGAAAAAAGCTATCAAATTGAAGTAATACAAATTTAAGATATAGTGTGATATATTAGTATAAATATGACATATTGTCATTTAAAATGTGTTGTGTTTCAAGTCAAATTGCAATTTTTTTTTTTTAATTTTATGTTATGAAAGAAGGTTATGCATTTTTAGCATGAAAGAGGTTTCTTTGTTTTCTTCCTCAAGATGGGTTTTTTTATTTCTTCTTAGTTCAGCAATGTAAGTTGTTTTTAAGCTTTTATTTTTGTTTCTTTTTTTTTTGGTTTTTTTTTAATGATTTTCTCTTTTTCTTGATTTTTTTTATGGTTTTAAGTTTTTTTGTTTGTTTTCTTTGTTCAGGTAAATTTCTTCTTTTCTTATATTTGATTTCTTGATTTTTTTTTCACTTTTTTACGGGTGTTTCTTTACATGCATGTTGTTAGATTACTTGTTGGTGTTTTGATGTTTTTGTCTTTGCTTGGCTCGCATCACCACTAGGGTTGTTGTTGGAGGTGTCGTTGGTAAGTTTCCAACTCTTCCACAACTCACTAAAACCTTGAACCACATTGTTCTATTAAATTACAAAATATTAGGAAAAAATATTAAATTTCTTTCAATTACAATCTTTTCAAAATATTTCCAAAATCATGATGTTATATGTTGCTCGTTTAGTTTAGTGATTCATAAATTGAAGTATGATTAAATTTCTAAACTCTAGGATTTTTGAACTAATAATTAGTATTTTCGTAGCACTTTCTTTTTTATTTTTTGGATTATGATTTTTTTTTTATTTTAGTTTTAAACGTTGATAATTTTTAAAGGAAAAATGAGTAAAAGGAAAAGGCATAAATTCAAAGAAAAAAATTTTAAGTTTTTTTAGTTCTAAATAATTATTAATGAACTATTATTTTTGAAGCAAAACAAAAGCATCGGGGAGCTCAACTTCTTAACATGCTTAATGAATTCTGGTGGCTCTCTTGGTAAGGCTATATTGTTAATGGAGCTATTGGAGCATTACATGTTT